AACAAATGTCATGATTATTTTCCACATTGTCATTATTGAACAAAAACAAATGTCATAATTATTTTCCACATTGTCATTATTGAACAAAAACAAAAAACATAATTATTTTCCACATTGTCATTATTGAACAAAAACAAATGTCATAATTATTTTCCACATTGTCATTATTGAACAAAAACAAAACAAATGTCATAATTATTTTCCACGTTGTCATTATTGAACAAAAACAAAACATAATTATTTTCCACATTGTCATTATTGAACAAAAACAAATGTCATAATTATTTTCCACGTTGTCATTATTGAACAAAAACAAAACATAATTATTTTCCACGTTGTCATTATTGAACAAAAACAAATGTCATAATTATTTTCCACATTGTCATTATTGAACAAAACAAACATAATTATTTTTCACGTTGCCATTGCTGACATAATCACAGAGTGTGCTTTTTTATCTTTCATGAAAGTCAGCATCATTATAGTTGGTCAGGAATTGGTACAAAATGTAAGGAAATGACACATATAATGCTTCTATATTTGATTCGAAATATGATATTTGCTACGAGAACAACTCTGTAAATGCTTATGTGTGTAAACTTCTACTGTATCTAATGCTCATTTTCTTCTCTGAAGTCAACTTTGAGCACTGTTGTATGTTAATGAAACAGTAATTTGTAGTTACTGTTGCTAGCTGTTTGGTATAGATTCTTTCAGCACTGTTAAATGTTAATGAAACAGTAATTTGTATTTACTGCTGCTAGCTGTTTGGTATAGATTCTTTCAGCACTGTTGTATGTTAATAAAAAAGAATTTGCAGTTACTGTCACAAGCTGTTTGGTATAGATTCTTTAACCACAGTTGTATGTTAATAAAACAATAATTTGTAGTTACAGTTGCTAGCTGTTTGGTATAGATTCTTTGAGTATTGTTGTACGTTAATGAAACAAGAATTTGTAGTTACTGTCACTAGCTGTTTGGTATAGATTCTTTGAACACTGTTTTATGTTAATAAAACAATAATTTGTAGTTACTGTTGCTAGCTGTTTGGTATAGATTCTTTGAACACTGTTTTATGTTAATAAAACAATAATTTGTAGTTACTGTTGCTAGCTGTTTGATATAGATTCTTTGAGCACTGTTGTATGTTAATGAAGCAATAATTTGTAGTTACTGTCACTATCTGTTTGGTATAATTCTTTGAGCACTGTTGTATGTTAATGAAACAAGAATAATTAGTTACTGTCAGTAGCTCTTTGGTATTGATTCTTTGAGTATTGTTGTATGTTAATGAAACAAGAATTTGTAGTTACTGTCACTAACTGGTTGTATAGATTCTTTGAGCATTGTTGTATATTAACAAAACAATAGTTTGTGGTTACTGTCAGTAGCTGTTTGGTATAGTTTCTTTGAGTATTGTTGTATCTTAATGAAACAAGAATTTGTAGTTATGGTCACTACATGTTTGGTATAGATTTTTTGTGCAGTGTTGTATGTTAATGAAACAAGAATTTGTATTTACTGTCACTAGCTGTTTGTGATTGATTCTTTGAGCACTGTTATATGTTAATGAAACAAGAATTTTTTATTACTATCGCTAGCTGTTTGGGAGTGATTCTTTGAGCACTGTTGGATGTTAATAAAGCAATAATTTGGAGTTATTGTCGCTAACTCTTTGGTATAGATTTTTTGAGCACTGTTGTATATTAATGAAATAATAATTTGTAGTTACTGTCACTATCTGTTTAGTATAGATTCTTTAACCACTGTTGTATGTTAATGAAACAAGAATAATTAGTTACTGTCAGTAGCTGTTTGGTATCGATTCTTTGAGTATTGTTGTATGTTAATGAAACAAGAATAATTAGTTACTGTCAGTAGCTGTTTGGTATCGATTCTTTGAGCACTGTTGTATGTTAATGAAACAATAATTTCTAGTTACTGTCACTAGCTGTTTGGTATAGATTCCTTAAGCACTGTTGTATGTTAATGAAACAATAATTTGTAGTTACTGTCACTAGCTGTTTGGTATAGATTCTTTGAGCACTGTTGTATGTTAATGAAACAATAAATTCTAGTTACTGTCACTAGCTGTTTGGTATAGATTCTTTGAACACTGTTGTATGTTAATGAAACAATAGTTTCTAGTTACTGTTGCTAGCTGTTTGATATAGATTCCTTAAGCATTGTTGTATGTTAATGAAACAAGAATTTAAAGATACTGTCACTAGCTGTTTGATATAGATAGATTCTTTGAACACTGTTTTATGTTAATAAAACAAGAATTTGTAGTTACTGTCGCTAGCTGTTTGGTATAGATTCTTTGAGCACTCTTGTATGTTAATGAAACAAGAATTTGTAGTTACTGTCACTAGTTGGTTGGTATAGATTCTTTGAACACTGTTTTATGTTAATAAAACAATAATTTGTAGTTACTGTTGCTAGCTGTTTGGTATAGATTCTTTGAGCACTCTTGTATGTTAATGAAACAAGAATTTGTAGTTACTGTCACTAGCTATTTGGTATAGATTCTTTGAGCACTCTTGTATGTTAATGAAACAAGAATTTGTAGTTACTGTCACTAGTTGGTTAGTATAGATTCTTTGAGCACTCTTGTATGTTAATGAAACAGTAATTTGTAGTTACTGTCGCTAGCTGTTTGGTATAGATTCTTTGAGCACTCTTGTATGTTAATGAAACAATAATTTGTAGATACTGTCACTAGTTGGTTGGTATAGATACTATGAACACTGTTGTATGTTAATGAAGCAATAATTTGTATTTACTGTCACTAGCTGGTTGGTATTGATTCTTCTAAGAAGATTTTGAAATAAAGTATTGGGTTAGTGGGTCAGTCGTAATCTTGAGAGCTTACAAAGCTAAATTTTGGGATTCAGTCTCTGTAGTTGGCACTTGGCAGATAAGCATTGTGCAACTTTGTAAGTAACAAACAAATTATTTTTATTGCTTTACCTAATGGTTTGTATTATTATTATTGTATTACTTAAAGGTCTGTATTATTATTATTATTGTATTACGTAAAGGTTTGTATTATTATTATTGTATTACTTAAAGGTCTGTATTATTGTACTACTTAAAGGTTTGTATTATTATTATTGTATTACTTAAAGGTTTGTGTTATTATTTCACGAGTTAAAAATATTAGTACATGAAACTGTATTTTGTTATATCTGCAGGGAACAGAAAAAAGACCTTGAAAATGAGTAAGTACATTCCTGATGATTTTATATTAATTTAGAAATAAAAATCTAATACTTCAATTAGTACGAGGAATTTTTATGATATATTCTTTGGGATGTTAAAATTGATTTGTGGCACTCCGTAAACACAAAATCTATAACACGTGTTTCACCTTGTCAAGTTTTTACAACATATTTTTTGTTGTGCCATGATGATCTAGCAATAAATGAATAAAAGACTGTGTGTTGATGTTGTTAAACTATAGATACAGCATGCTCTCATCACCATAAAACAAAGAATGCAGAGTATTAATTTTTGTCTAATCATCTAGCAGCAATTAATACAGCACATTATTATTTTATTGCTATATATTTAACTGTTTGACACCTGCAATCTGCCTCTAAGGCAAAATTACACCATTGGAATAAAATGATAAATTTATGGTTTCTTTCCACACATCAAAAATGCAGTACATAAGAGTTGACATTTATTCAATAACAAGAATTGTTTATTCAATTTTATAAATAAAAGATTGAAAAATCAGCACAAATATTGATTTTGAGTTGATTTTAGTGCACTCCCAACAAATCATTATTGTTTGTGAATTTCCTAAATTTTTTTCTATACATAATATGGCACTTGTATCTCCCTAGAAGGTAAGTAACAACAGTTTTAACTTTCTCTACGCTGGTTTGGTCGAATTGATCGACCTTGTAACCATAAGAAAAAATCTAGATAAATCTAAATTACTCTTTTCTTCTTTCTAGAATGACTTCAACTTGTAACATGAAACTCAATTTGTTTATTCTAAATAGGTTTAAACTCATAACAGTATACATCTATACTTAAATTTTATTGTTTTATTGCTCTTTGAGCCGTGCATAACTAGTATTCACACCAATATAAATTATAAGTCAATTTGGGAATGTTGTGTTGTATATTTTCATACTTCTTGATATTTATACTATACATAGAAACTTCTTCCAATGACATTTCAATTTTAAATCAATGTTCCATTTATATGAAACAACACTGACAAATAAATATACACTTGTATGTGTAAATAAATAAATATGAAACAATATAAAACATATTTTGTTAATATTGTTACGTCTCTGTTCTTTAGTTAATTTTCCGTAAATTCATTCCGACAAAACTTTAACGACACAAGTCCTTTCTTAAATAAAACTGGTTTATTCTACATCACATGTAGTAGAGCATGTTATTAGTTGTAATCACCATGTTAAATCAAATTAATTAGTTCCATGAGTAATTACATTTTATCACATGCAGTAGAGCATGTTATTAGTTGTAATCACTGTGTTAAATCAAATTAATTTGTTCTGTGAGTAATTACACTTTATCACATGTAGTAGAGCATGTTATTAGTTGTAATCACCATGTTAAATCAAATTAATTAGTTCCATGAGTAATTACACTTTATCACGTGTAGTAGAGCATGTTATTAGTTGTAATCACCGTGTTAAATCAAATTAATTAGTTCCATGAGTAATTACACTTTATCACGTGTAGTAGAGCATGTTATTAGTTGTAATCACCGTGTTAAATCAAATTAATTAGTTCCATGAGTAATTACACTTTATCACGTGTAGTAGAGCATGTTATTAGTTGTAATCACCATGTTCAATCAAATTAATTAGTTCCATGAGTAATTACACTTTATCACGTGTAGTAGAGCATGTTATTAGTTGTA